CATGTCAATCTCAGCAGGGAAAGTGACAGCTTCCTTATCATCAAAGCTGCGAGCTTCCTGATTCATTTGCTGGTATTGTCAATAACGCTCCATGGCAGAGCTGGGTGGGAGCCCATTTCTCCCCTCCTCTTTCTTCCCTATTGCTTCTCGTCTCCCCAGAAAAGGACTGAATCTCCACTTTCTATGACAATTCCCCACATCCTATTGCTAAGAGCCTCTAGTAAATAAATTCCTCCTTGGAGCACGATGCTAGTGCTAGATAGAACATTGCCTCTTTTCTTGAGCTTGTGCCATTTAATTTTTTTTTTTTTTAACTCAGGAAGCATCTAACTCAGAATGTCTGCCCTTCTTGGCAGGTACTGAGAAGCTGACTTAGGGATAACGTGGAATTAGATAAATATTCCAACTAGGCTTCCTGTAGGTAGTTGATGAGCAATCACCTACATTAAGTTGCTTCCTGGAAGCAATGCATGCACGCTAAGTCACTTCAGTCGTGTCCAACTCTTTGTGACCCTGTGGATTGTAGTGCTCCAGGCTCTTTTATCCATGGGGTTCTCCAGGCAAGAATACTGGAGTGGGTTGCCATTTCCTCCTCCAGGGGATCTTCCTGACCTAGGGATCAAACCCATGTGTCTCTTACGTCTCCTGCATTGGCAGGCAGGTGCTTTACCACTAGCGCCACCTGGGAAACCCTCTAGAAGCAATAGTACATGTATTTTTCTGTCCCTTTTAAACAGTTTGTTACAGCTTTCAAAAGATTCCTGTCTGCTCCGTGTTTGGGTGAGTCCTCTTATATATTTATTGGGAAAATGAGTTAGATCCACATGATAAATCCCTGCAAATCCCCACTCCATGCTTTCACAATGTGAGAATATTGATTTTGCTTTGTTTTTGTTTTCACTTTTTTCTTCTTTACCACAGAGGCTACTTAAGTTTCTCAATGAAGCCTTAAAAGGTATTTGACAGATGGAGGTGAACTAGAATGGGCTCTGTCAGACTTTTCTAAATGGAGTAAAACTCTGAAAACCGCCCTGTGACACATTATTACTTAAGCTTAAGGATGACTCCTTTGGCTTTTGAAAACCCTCCTTTGCCAGTAATTTCAGTCTATTAATCACCTATTTGAAAAAATATCATTTTTTTCTAGTGACTTCTATCCTTATGAATTCCTCATTGTGAAACCACAGGTTGGTGATGTCCCCTCCAGGAGTTTTAAGTAGTGTCTTTTATGTTCTATACTGGTCATGCCACTGACTCGTCGACCCAAACGTAAATGGTCTGCATCATAATGATGGTCCACTCTGTGAGTCAACAAAAAGGGAAAGAACAAAAAGCTTGGTATTTGTAAATAGTGACGCAGAAGTTGGGCTGAAGTAGACACTGAGGTGTGGCCTGTTCAGGCAGCCTGGCTGGGAAGGCAGTTTGGGGGAGAAAGGATACCTGTATATGTGTGGCTGAGTCCCTTTGCTGTTCACTTGAAACTATCACAACATTGTTAATCGGCTATACACCAATACAAAATAAAAATTTTTGAAACAAAAAAAATTTTTTTAAGGAAAAACAAAATAACAACAAAAAAAGAGGCCTCTGTTAAATGCAAAGTCTGACAAAGAGTGTTTCTCCAAAAGCAAAGTCTCTGAAATGCCATTTTCTTGTCTATAAAATAAGAATGACAAGTAAGCATCTTCAGACCTCCTCCCAACCATCCCATGACCCTTCATCTGAAAACTCCTCTCTCAAGACACACGAATACACGAAGGAGCCTCAAAAGCCACACGGTGGCAAGTGAGGTCCCTAGTACCTGTCACTGCGGTCATGTCCCCTTGGACCAAACGTGGCCATTTGTCCTGGGAAAAAGTTGTGTGGCCAGCTGGACCAATCAGGTTCTCCTGCTTGGGAATATGAAATCAAGATCGATATTTTGTAATAACCTATAAGGGAAAAGAATCTGAAAAAAATAGATATATTTGTATGTATAACTGAATCACTTTGCTATACCTGAAACTAACACAACATGGTAAATCAACTTCAATTTTCAAAAAGCCATAAGCACTAATAGACATGCAGTCACATACATACATTCATTGAACACATGTATATATATTTATGGGGGGAAAAAAGATATAGAAACCCTGAGTCTTAAGTTGAGGCACTGGAGAATATTAAGTTTTCCATGGTCTAAGCCATGTTTGGACCACATGCAGTGAGCTGAAGAAACCTGGTTTGGAACAAATGAAAGGCAGAGAGGGAGAGAGAAAGAGGGGAGACATCTGCATGGAATTAGTCACAGAAGCTGATACAACCCCGGGAGACGGGACTTCTTGCTTCCATGACAATATTCTGGTCCCAGTCCCTCTGCCCAGTGAGGCTCGCTTACCCTTCCTCTCCTCGGCTTCTGTCAAACCTCTTTGTATCTTTCTTCTTAACACGCTTTTACTCTTGCTTAAGCTATTCTTTGCCACTGAAGACTGTAAGATGTAAAGATAAAAGGAGACAGACGTGGAACTCGCCTGGTACAATGACTGACTTAGATGCAACCAATACTTGACCTTCCTGTCCATGTACGAGGTGACACGTGACATGCATGAGACACACAGGGTTTTGCAGTCTGGGAAATGCTGGCGTAAGTTTAAATGGGGTGATGTTATCAATAGGTTTCCAGATCTGTGTAGTTTATACATACGAAAAAAAACTTCCTTCCAGAATAGGGTCTGATTCAGCTTCTGTCCTTTGAACTTCAGTGTGCGTGTGTGTGTGTGTGTGTGTGTACACACTGGAAAAGAAGTTTTTAGAATTTTTATGTCCATCTAATCATTAAATTATAGGGCCTTCCCTCTTGCCCACAAGTCATGCAAATGACTTCCTCTGTCCCCCTTTTCTCTTCTCTTCCCTTTCACGGTCCCGAAAGCGCCCAAGGGAGAGAATGAGTCATTCTGCTTCTGCTAAGGGCAGAAAGTAAAGAGTTATCAGAACTCGGTCTTAAAGAATAACTAGGTGACCACATGGGGTGAGCGAAGATTAGGAACTGGAGGAAACTAAGTGCTTCAAAGACATACTTTCATATGTTGAAAGAGCACGGCTTGACACTGGGCAAATGGAGGCTAGACAGGGAGATGTTTTGATAGTTATGCTAAAGAGTCTGGGTTTCAACACAAAGGCGGAAAGGTCACTTTTGAACTGATCTAATAGGAAATCCTTCCATATGAGTCAAGTGTCATAATCCAGATTGGTGAGTGGTTTTGTAACAGCCAGATTCCAAAGACAGCCCCCAATGCCCCTTCCCTACCAGTGTGTGTGCGCTCTGGCTGTAGCCGCCTCCCACGTGGAATCCAGGCCACTCTTGCATCTCCCTTTCACCAACAGAATGCGGTAGGAGTGACTCCCTGCTTAGCAGCTTTCATTTGGAGTTTTTGAGAACTCTAAGCTGCCACGTAGGTTCAGGATATGAAAGGACTTTGTGAACTGAAATACGGTTAAAACATGATTGGTTGAGGCTGTGATCTGCAACATTAAAGCGGCAGTGCTGCCTGAGTCCGGAGATGGCTGGAGATATACGTGCCTGGACTGGTGCCCCTGGGTCCTGCAGAGGGAACCGGTGGGGCCAAGATGATTGGCTGTGACTGACTAGAGAGCGGGGCTGCAAGGGAATCTGAGAAGACAGCTGGTTGAGTGTTAAAGTGCTGACATTGATTAGTGATGTCTGCCTTGGGCAAGGAGTGAGAAATTACTGCCCCTCTGTGATTTGTGATCACAGAGATGAATGTACGACCCGTGGACCTAGTCGACTTGAAAAAGGTCAGACTCCATGGACTGGGGGTGAGGGTTAGGGAGAAGAGTTCTGGTCAACCAGTTGACTCTCCCTCAGCAGAGCAAAAAGTGCTATGTGAGAAGAAGGCATGGCCATTCTGAAAGATGCAGCCACCATCCTCCCTTCATTTCGACGCGAGCAAGCCCAGCACCCCTGGCCACACTCAGGCTCTGGGTCCAACAGGCGGGAGGGATGTGCATTCGGCACATGGCCCCCAAACAGCTCTGTCAAGTGCAACAGTGAAGGGCTGACACCGAGCCAGACCAGAAACTCATCAGCTGCCATGGCTCAGGAAGCTGCGCGTGCTGTCTTGGCCCCTTTGGAGACCCTCAGCTGCAGCGGCTAACAAGCCTTGACACAGAGCAGGCTTCACAGTGCGCCCGGCACACGCTCCTTCCATGGGCACGCTGGCCTCGTCTGTTGACTGTTTGCTTTCCAAACACCTGAGATGAAAGGGCATACTTGTGACTCCAGGTGAAGAACTCTGAGCTCTCTCCATCACGCTCACTAAACACGTTGGTCTAAGCCCATCTATTATTTGGTTTGGTTGTGTTGTTTTGCATTTCCTTCATCAAACCTTTGACACGGTGTAAAACAAGACGTTTGTAAAACAACCAAACCCAAGTGGCGTGGCTGTCTGCCTTCGTTATTTCAATCCTGAGATTGACAGTGAAAGACAAAATATTTCAATAAAATAAAAGTATCGTCAGCAAAAAAAAAAAAAAAAAAAGGTATGATGATGACATACCAAGAACATAGCACTATGAACTAGTAAAAAAAATTTTTTGATGAAAAGCAGAAACACATAAGACTGCAATTTAATCTTTTTATTTGAAATATAAATATTGTTACTATCAAGCTTGACAGTATAGAAAATGTGTGCCCTGCAGCCTTCTGACAAAACAAAATTTATATTTAAAACTTCCTGAAATAATACCTTTCATCCATAGGGTTCTGTCACATTGCGATGGCCCTGAGCCTGCTGTATGGCCCTGCACCTTTAATTATTTTATGCCTAGAAGACATATTTTAAATAGAAGAGGCGGTTACAAGAGTTTTGACAGCTAAAGCTGATTAAAATACTGACAACATGCACTCCATAGAATTCCCTGAGGTTTTTGTCAAAGACCCACAGGAAAGTTAAAGACGAGAATCCCCCCACCCCTCCAAAGTATTTTTTTTACCCACTGGCATGAAACATTCAGGCCAGGCTAGTGGCATCTGTTGCGTGGCCCTTGCTAGAGAAACTTTTAACAAAAAATTCCCTTTTTCAAAAGTTGCAAGGCCACAGACTGAAAAAACTGGTCAGCCAATTGAGTTTGCTAATCTGTTTCCAGTTAACAAAGCACAGGGCCTCTTTCCAAGGCCAGCTGTTCCGTCTCATTTGCTGAGGAGAAGAAAGCCTGGATGGCTTGCTTATTTATTTATCAGTCTCTTTTACAAGGGTGTTACCAACTGGGCTGGTTTCCTGGATCTAGTCCCTGCTTTGTTTCTCATTAGGGAGTGTGGCTTTTACAACCCCCAGTGAAAATCTCCTCTCTACCAATCTTGTCACTCCTGTTGCCTGAGGGAGTGAGTCAGAAGCCACTGACTTTAGGCTAGTAAGGGAGCCATCAATCTGGGGATGGTCTCTGAAAGCCTCTTAATATCTGAGGCCTGAATTTTAGGGCTGGACCTTCACAAGTTAGAGTCCCATGTGTGTTCATTCCTTTATTGCAGTGATATAAATGGAGGATCTATTCTGGCCAGGCTTCCCAGGGTCTTTGCCCTTCAAGTGGGCACTCATCTAAAATCCAAGGCCAACTAATTCTATACTAAAACTGTCCTTCAGAAATGTTGGCGAGATAAAAGACATTCCCAGGCAAACAAAAATTAAGGGGGTTCATCACCACTAGGCCTGTGTTATAAGAAATGCTAAAGGGAGCTCTTCAAGTTGAAACTAAAGGATACTAAGTAATGTGAAAACATATGAGAGTATAAAACTCACTGGTAAAGTTAAATATACAGTCAAATTCAGAATATCCAAATATAGTACTGGTGATGTGTAAATCACTTTTATTTCTCATATAAAAGTTAAAAAAGCAATGATACTGAAAACAACTAGTGCTATAATTTCTTAATGGATATGTAACATAAAAAGATGTAAAGTGTGACAATGATAGCATAAAGTGTGAGGGGAAGTAAAAGTGTATAGTTTTCGTATACAATTGAAGTTGTTATCAGCTTAAAATAGACCATTATATCAATAAGATGTTTTATGTAAGCCTCATAGTACACAAAGCAAAAACCTTTAGTAGATACAAAATACAAAGAAAAAGGAATTAAAATATACAACTATGAAAAAATAAATCACAGACGAAGAAAAGAAGTGGGGAAAAAAGAGTCATGAAACAATGAACTAAATGGTTTTACCTATCAATAAGTACTTTAAGCATAAGTAGGCTAAATTCTTCAAAAGAAGTGATTGAATGGCATTAAAGAAAACCAAGATTCAGTACCGAAATACACATTCTTCTCAAGCATGCATGGAACGTTCCCCAGGAAATTTAAGAAAACTGAAATCATATCAAGTATCTTTTCTGACTATAATGGATGAAACTAAAAGTCCAGAACAGGAGGGAAGTGATAAAGTCCACAAATCCACAAATCCATCAAGCAACACACTCCTGAACATCACTGGATCAAAGAAGAGATCAAAAGAGGAATCAGAAAGTATCTTGAGACAAGTGAGAATGAAAACACAACATACAGAAACTTAGGGGATGCGGCAAGAACAGTTCCAAGAAAAAAGTCTACAGTGATAGATAAATGCTTACATTAAGAGAAGAGAAAAACCTCAAATAAACAACTTAATGTTATACCTCAAGGAACTGGAAAAGCAAGGACAAGGTAAATGTAAATGTAAATGTAAACCCAAATGTAACAGAATAAAGATAATAACGATTAGACTGACAGGAAATCAAACCAGTCAGTCCTAAAGGAGATCAACCCCGAATATTCTTTGGAACAATTGATACTGAAGCTGAAGCTCCAATACTTTGGCCACCCGATGTGAAGAGCTGACTCACTGGAAAAGACCCTGCTGCTGGGAAAGACTGAAGGCAGGAGGAGAAGAGGGTGGCAGAGGATGAGATGGTTGGATGGCATTTCCAACTCAATGGATGTGAATCTGAGCCAACTCCGGGAGATGGAGAAGGACAGGGAAGCCTGGCGTGCTGAAGTCCGTGGGGTCGCAAAGTGTCATAGTTTATTTGGTGACTGAACAGCAACAACAGCAAAATCTAAAATTTGTATGGAACCACAAAGACACAGAACAGCCAAGGCAATCTTGAGAAAGAAGAACAAAGCTGAAGGCATCACATTCACTGACATCAAACTATATTACAAAGCTATAGTAACTAAAACGGCATGGTACTGGCATAAAAAACAGACTCAGAGACTAAGGAAACAGAATCAAGAGCCTAGAAAGAAACCCATGCACATACAGTCAACTAATATTTAACAAGGGAGAGAAGAATATACAGCGGGGATAGTACAGTCTTTTCAATAACTGGTCTTAAGAAAACTGGATATTCACACACAAAAGAAGGAAATTATCACCTATCTTACACCTGGCATGAAAATTGACTTGAAATGGATTAAACACTAAAATGAAAGGCTTGAAACTGTAAACCTTTCAAAAGAAAACATAGGGGGAAACCTCCTTGACACTGGTCTTGAAAATGATTTTTTGTTGATATGACACTAAAAGCACAAGCAATAAAAGCAAAAATAAACTAGTGGGACTCCAACAAACTTATAAGCTTTTGTAAAGGGAAACAAATAATCAACAAAATGAAGAGGTAACCTATGGAAATGGAGAAAATATATGCATGCTATGTATCAGATAAGGAGTTAAGCCAAAATACATAAGGAATTCATATAACTCAACTCAGTTAGTCAGTTCAATCACTCAGTTGTGTCCAACTCTTTGTGACCCCATGAACTGAGGCACACCAGGCCTCCCTGTCCATCACCGACTCCCAGAGCCTACTCAAACTCACGTTCATCAAGTCAGTGATGCCATCCAACCACCTCATCCTCTATCATCCCCTTCTCCTCCTGCCTTCAATCTTACCCAGCATCAGGGTCTTTTCAAATGAGTCAGTTCTTCACATCAGGTGGCCAGAGTATCAGAGTTTCAGCCTAAGCATCAGTCCTTCCAAGGAACACCCAGGACTGATCCCCTTTAGGATGGACTGGTTGGATCTCCTTGCAGTCCAAGGGACTCTCAAGAGTCTTCTCCAACACCACAGTTCAAAAGCATCAATTATTCAGTGCTCAGCTTTCTTTATAGTCCAACTCTTACATCCAAACACAACTACTGAAAAAACCACAGCTTTGACTAGATGGAACTTTGTCGGCAAAGTAATGTCTCTGCTTTTTAATATGCTATCTAGGTTGGTCATGGCTTTTCTTCCAAGGAGCAAGCGTCTTTTAATTCCATGGCTGAAGTCACCATCTGTGCAGTGATTTTGGAGACCAAAAAAATAAAGTTTCTCACTGTTTCCACTGTTTCCCCATCTATTTGCCATGAAGTGATGGGACCGGATGCCACGATCTTAGTTTTCTGAATGTTGAGTTTTAAGTCAATGTTTTCACTCTCCTCTTTCATTTTCATCAAGAGGCTCTTTAGTGCTTCTTCACTTTCTACCATAAGGGTGGTGTCATCTGCATATCTGAGGATAAAAAAATAATCTGATTTTAAATGATCAGAAAATATGAATAAGCATTTTTCCAAAGAAGACACACAAAAGTCCATCCTGTAGATGAAAAGTGCTCAAAATTACTAATCTTCATGGAAATTCAAATCAAAACCACAAAGATATATGACTTCATACCTGTTAGAACGGCTATTATCAAAAAGAAAAGAGATAACAAATGTTGATAAGAATGTGGACAAAAGGAAACTGTTGTGCATTGTCAGTCTGGATATAAATTGATACAGCCATTATGGAAAACAGTATGCAAGTTTCTCAAAAAATTTAAAATATGACTAGAATATGATTTAGCAATCCCACATCTAGGAATACATCCAAAGGACATGAAATCAGTATCTCAACATCTATACCCATTCACTGCAGCATTATTTACAAAAGCCAAAGTATTTATGCAAACAACCTAAGTGTCCAGCCATGCAAGAAAGAATAGAGACAATGTCACACACATACGCGCGCACACACACACACACAGACACTGCAGAATATTATTCAGACATAAAACAGAAAATGCTGACAATTGTGACAACACAATCAGAACTTGAAGGCATTATGCTAAGTGAAATAAGGTAAAGACAAATTCTTTACTTATATGTAAGTGATATCATATAAGTATGATATCACTTGATATCATGGATTATGGTTTAGTCGCTAAGTCATGTCCAACTCTTGCAACCCCATGGACTGTGGCCTGCCAGGTTCCTCTGCCCATGGGATTCTCCAGGAAAGAATACTGGAGTAGGTTGCCATTTCCTTGATATCACTTATATATGGAAGCTAAAAATGCTGAACTTACAGAAACAGAAATTACAATGGTGGTTTCCAGGAGTTGGGGAGTAGAAGAAATGAGAAGACACAGGTAAAAGGGTATACATTTTCCAGTTATGAGTAAGTTGTGGGGATCTAACATAAAGCATAGTGACTATAGCTAACAATACTGCATTATATACTTGAAAGTTGCTAAGGGAATAGAACTTAGATGTTATTAGCACACACCAAAAAAAAAAAAAATATATATATATATATATAGTTATGTGAGGTGATGGATATGTTAACTAACCATATTGTGGTTATCACTTTGCAATATACAGAAGTATCAAATTGTCACAAGTGCATCTTAAACTTATACAATGTCATATGTCAATTATGTCTCAGAAAGTCTGGGGGAAGAAAGAATGAATAAGCTTTTGAAAGAAAGGCACAGCTGAAAGGTAACTTTGGGTAGAAGGAACCGTGTGAGGGAAAAGCTGGGGGCAGGGAAGAAATCACTGATCCAGGAGGAGAGCCTCTTTGGGGTGAAACATGGAGGGAAGATGAGGCTAAAAAGGGGTTAGCACACATTTTTTGTGGAAGACCAAAGACTCAAGGGATTGTTGGCCACACTGCCTCTGTCATAACTACACCATTGCTCTTAAAGTGCAAAAGCAGCCACAGACAATATGTAAACAAATGGACACTGCTGTGTTCCAATAAAACTCTTATTTACAAAAGTCAGGCGGTGGGCCAGATTTGACCCCTAGGCCATAGTCTGCAGTGTCTGATTGGTGGGGTGGGGAGGGGTTTGGGTTTAAATGACTTACTAAATCGCTTATTCTGTAAGTGTTAGGGAGCCATTGAAGACAGGAAGGGAATAGATTTTTTTTTTTTTTCCCCTTGAATTTTTGAGGAAATATGAAGAAGTGGGATGTTTTCATTATATGCTGTTCCTCTCTTTTACAAAGTAAAAATAGTTTACTAATATGTAAAAGTAGTCAAAGTATGGTCAAAGTAG